TGGGCCGGTTCAGGGTTCTGATAAGAACTGGACGATGAATGTCAAATGTTTGTGACAAAGTACTTTGTCAAACCTCTACACAGCATAACTTTGTTGATCCATGATTTTCAAATAACTCACACTGTCTAGAAGCCACTTGCAAGTAACCGGCCTGTGTCCAGTTTCTTGTTCAATCTTGTCAGCCTCCTCTCGTGTCACATCATTGTCTGCAATAATGACATTTTCATATTTGGATTTTTTAACTCTCTTGAACATGGTACCATGAATGGTGCCACCTCCAAACGTGACCAAATCAGTGAGTTCTTTTTTAGAGGGATTCTTGGACTTGGCACTAAAGGTACCATGAAAATGCACGCGATAGTTGAAGAATAATCGATTATTTCCATTGGCTATGCTTTTTCTTGCTTCGGCTGGTGAGTTGTACTTGATGGTCACATCACCCAACGCGCAAAAATCTTCCTCATTCACATGGCATTTGGCCTTAAGCACTGCATCCAGCCATTCCGTTCCAACAATCCACACACCAGAAACAACAGCAACACAATACTTGATCGTTCTTCGAGCAAGTCTGTTCTCATCTAGGAGTGAAACCAAATGGGTGACTTCATCCGTAAATTCGTTCCTCACTTCACCGCCCAAATATTTTGCTGCCTTTTCTAATTTTTCTTTTGCATCCGTTGTTAAATTAGTTCCGCAGAGACACAGTCGTTTCGCCTTTGAATTTCTATGGGATGTTCTCTTTGAAGATTGAGATCCCAGAGTGGCCTGAGAGTGTTGAGATTGTGTAGCTGTTGTTTGCGTATTTACATGTTGTAAGTGTTGCAAAATTCCAGCCGCAGTGCTGACACTTGCCGATATTGTTGATGTTACAGGTATGATATCATTTTGTACAAAACTCGAAAGAAAAGGATATCTTTCATGTGAAAATCCAAAAACTCCATAGGTCTCATTGAGGTCAGATAAGAGTTCCTCTAGTTGAGAAAGTTTCATTCTTTTAGCAGTCAATTGTTCATCGATACGTTGTATTTGGTCATGTACGGAGTCATCCTCCATGAAATCGTCCGAAGGAATAATAATGGCTTCAATAGAAGCGGTTGAGGAGTCGGAGACATTTCCATCTTGTGGTTGTGAAATGTTGGATGATCCTTTTCTGTGAAATCTTCGTTTTTTACCAGTTGTGACAGTGTTGGAACTTGTCGTTGCTGCTGTTGTTCCAGAACCGTAAATGTTGTTGGCTGTTGATTTTCTTCCAGTATTTGCTGGAGTTTTGTTGGTAGTTGTAGAGGATGATGACACTGCCTTGGTCGGATCGGGATACATGGAACACAACTCTTCATAGGTATTTCCCATAGAGGAGGGAGTAGTAGTTTCAAATGTACAAGTTGACGGGTGCTTTGTATTGGTATTAGATCCAAATTGTTCCATCGATTGATCGAATTTTCGTTTGAATTTGTGAAATTCTTCCACCAGATTGGCCAATGATTGCATGGGCATGAGATGTCTCTTGGTGAGAATGGGCGTTTTACAAAGAGGACATTCTTTCTTAATTTTCATTCCTTGTTCAATGCAGTCATAACAAAACAAGTGGCTGCAATGAGTAGCTGTTGGTTCTTTCCAAACTTCCAAACTATTTGTGGGTGTAAATTAAATATATTTAGAGATCCATTAAATATTTAAATATTCATGGAACAAAACATTGTTTTATAATAAAAAGAAATAATCCAAAACAGTAATGTCAAAGTAATTCATTTTCATTGTGATTAAATATTGAATCGTGATGATGATCCTTAACGATTAAAATCCAAAGGTTATACCTACCATATCGCACATCGTAATTCTCTTTCAAAATTATCAAAATCAGATTGTTTCAATGGAAACACCATCATAGTAGAAGCATCGGAATGAGTGGATTTCCGTGATGATGGCTCCGAATTATTCTTAGACAAGGGAGGTGTTGGATAAAAATCCGATGATGGAGCCATGGAGTTCTCATCATCTGCAAGATCCATTCTCGTGGAAGAATCGCTTGTTGTGGAAGTTTTCTTTCTGGGCATTTTTTTGAAGAATTCCTTTCAATTTGCTTCTTAACTCTTGAGTTCTTTCTATTATGGAGGTCCATGATGATTAGCCATTCAAATAAATCTCGTCAAAAGTGGAGAATCGTCAATTTTTAACCATAAGAAATTGAAAACAAATTTATTGAAGTGAAATAAACTTGTCTGATTGAAATTCTTCATAAAAAATTATTTTGGTTGAGGATGTTATTTTCTTCCTTAATTCCTCGTAATTCAAAGCATAATTACGATAGATTGTCAAATAGCGAGGACATAAATGGTTCACAATGTCAAGTAATGTCTGTTCATGAAACAAGTCTGTCAACAATTCTAAATGCTTCAAATGTTTCAAAGATGATCCAGAAGCAAGATTTACCAAAAAATTGTTCATTGCAACGAGTCCATTCGATATGCTCAAATAGGTTAATTTTGGAAAATTAGATGTGGATAAATAGGAACCATCAATTTCCTCAAACTTTCTAGCATTGGATGAATATGAAAATATCAGAGTTGTCAAGTTAATGAGAGAACCATCACATATATCTCTCATTCCTTCACAAGAGATTGGAGATCCAAAAACAAGTGATTTCAAATGATTCATTCTTGAAATATATTTGATATCCTTCATGTCAACATTGGTACGGTCTAATTGTAAATCAATCAAATTTGGTAATTTAGAGATGTGACACATGCAACCCGATCCCAAATTGTTGTTATAGAACTTTAAAAAAGTTAGGTTTAGAAAAGTGTCACAAAATTTTTGAATTGCATATTCAGAGACTTCAGAGGTTGTTTGTGATCTATAGTTGCAAAAATGTTTCAAATTATTGGTCTTCATATTACACAACTCAAGCAAACCATCATTGTCAGAACGAATTTCAAGATGAGTCATGTTTTGTAAGGATGACAGGTATTTGTATGCTTTTAAACAACTCGTCCGACCGTCGAAAGGTTCGGCCAAACATAGTTTTTCAATTGAAGTAATCTTGCTGATATGCAACAAGCAATCATCGTCAAGTGTCTCACATGAAATTAATGACAATTCTTTCCAAGGAATTCCACTATTTAACACATTCATTATTCCTTCTTTACACAAAAGATGTCGACGTGAAGTAAAACAGCAAAGTGATGGAAACTTTGATGAGTCAATTCGTGGAACATGTTTGACAGATCCATCGATATATGGACCAGCAATTTCAACAAATTCAAGTTTTTTCAAATTTCTCAATTTGTCAGATGTCAACAAGAATTCAGCCCCTTCGTTTCCAACCCCATTTCCAATGGTAAGATGTGTCAAATTTTTCAACTTTGAGTTGGAAAGAATTAATCCAGCTCTTTTTCCAATATTATTTCCAATCAATGTCAATTCTGTAAGTCTCTCCAATCTGGTGCATAGAATTCTCAAATTTTCCTCACTCACTTCAACATTAATCAATTTCAAATTTGTGAGTGTTGAACAATGTTTTGAAGGAATATCTTTGGTGATGATATTGGTTGACTCTAAGGTCAATGATTCAACCTTTTTCGAATTGAATAATCTTTTAAACACTGATCGTTCAAATGTAACATTTTTGTTTCCAACCTTTCCATGGATAAAGAACTCGGAGAATATTTCATTCAAGTCACCTTTGATCAATCCACTCATTTCATTCAGAGATTGAAACATGAAATTTGAGGCACTGTAGTGAACAGAAAAACATTGAACTCCTTTCACTTTGGTCGTTTTGACAATTCTTCTCCATTCGGAACACACACCAGCAAATGAAATGATAGTTTTTTCATCAAAATATGGAATGATGTGATCGGAAATTATTTCTTTACTCAATTTCAAAAGAGAGGTGATGGTGTCTATCGGTTCATTGGAATCATGTTGATCCAAATTTTCATCAACGAAACAATAGGTGAAGAACTTGAACATTTTTTCAATTATTATTAATTTTTAGTTTTAATTTATTAAGGACGATGAATTGCTAACAAGGTGGAAATACCATGATAAAAGAGAAAATTGCCTTTGCGGTTTAAAATCAATGAACCTATTAATTCACGACCTAGTTTTAAAGTCATCCTTAATTATTTTAACAAATTCAGTATTTACCCAAATCATGATCTGGGATGATAAGTCCGATGAATTGTTGTTCTCAACCAAAAATTTGCATCAACTCTAGAACAAACAATTAAGATGGTGTCCATCCCTCATGTGAGCGAACTAAGAATGTTATTTCCAACAAATGAATCACACCTTGCAATGCGAAACAATCATTTACTGCACCTGGACATTGCTAATGATTGATTTTCGACGTCGGTGAGGAGGTGAGATCCTTGACTGGCTCGTCGAAATCTCTTGAGCATGATATTTCGCTTTGGCTATCAGACAATAACTTGACACAGTGAGAGGAGGAGGTTGATGATGGATGAGTTCCAGCTCCACTCGTACCCCTCACGTTAATCGAAGACACAGAGTGAGTATTCTCTTGAAGGGATTCCCTTAAAAAACGCACCTGTTGAAGCAATTCTTCTTTCTCCATTAACAGAAGATCATTTGCTTTCTTCAGCTCTGAAATGGTTTCTTGATGTGACACTTCCCGTCTTTTCAATTGTTTTTCCAACCGTTGCACATACTTCTCTGATTGAGACAGATTTTTCTGAGCTGTTTTTGTTCGTGTTCGTTCCTGTTGCAATTTTTCTTTCAGTCGACAATTTTCTTCTTTCAAAGAATCGATCATGGAATTTTGAATTTCTATTTGAAGTAGCAACTCTTTGATCTCGCTTACTGATTGGGTATGAATCTTGTTCGGCGAGGAATGAGTAGAGGCTGTGGAGTTTAAATAATCTTGAGGAGAATTGGTCAATTTTCGTGTTCTGTCCGTGAGAGGTTCATGTTGATCCATGTCATTCGAGAGCAACCTATCCAGTAAATTAGAAATATCTTGAGTAAGACGAATCCTCGTTTGATCGGTGATCTTTTCATTCTCATATCGTTCTTTGATTTGCTTTATCTTGTCTCGCAGTTCATTAATGACCTGTTCTTGCTCTGAACTGTTTGAATGTTGAAGAGAATGTCGTGTGTCTTTCTTGGATATTGTTATGGGTCGTATGGAGGAAGCACTTAAAATGGTTTGAGAAAGCTTGACAATAGGAGAGTGATCCGCATTGGGAATTTTCATGTTTAAGGTTGAGTTGATCGATGAGAGTTCTTCTTTGGTTAAATGACGAGACATGGATCGGTTGCCCGAAGATTTCTTGACCGGAGAAGGTGCTTCTGCCCGTGATAAATAACGTTCCATCTCTGTGACTTGAGAAACAAATTGTTCCTCAAGATTGTTTTTTCTCTTCTGTTATTTTATCGAGAGCAGATTTGAGTTCCTTATTTTTTTGAAGCATCGAGTTCAATAACTCATCTTGCGAAACTGAAGTGATTTCAGATGAAGAAATGGGGCCCATGGAATTGCTGGGAGGCTTTGATTCTGTGCTTTCCCTTAAATTTAATTTGGGAATAAGGATTTGCAGATCGTCTTTCTCCTCTTCAGAAAGAGAACTGTCGAGAGGGTTCATGTAGAAATGTGAGTTGCCCGGTATTGAATTAATGCGGTTATTTTTGAAAGGAGAAGTTTTGTGTTGAGCCCCAGAAAAGCTTGAAACGTCTTTCATTTGTTTTTTTTCGGTCTCCACTTCGTAAAATTGCAGATCTTACGAGGCGTTCAA